GGAGATCTTCACAGTTAAAATAATGAATATATAGAATAATACAAACAGATCTTACAGCCGTGTTTGCAAATATAGTCTTTGAGTATTATTGATTATCAATTTATATGCAATTTTTTAAATCGAAAAATTTAAGAACATATTGAACAGATCTATTTAAAACTTGTTAAATAAAGACTTAAAATAAAGACTGCAGGTAAACACCTATTTCAATAAGTCCAAATAGTGGATAATACCTTCGTTTCATAAGCGAACGAGTTTAAAACTTATATACTTTAGAAAAAACGACGTAAAAGCTATAATAAGAATAAAAATTCTCAATGGCCGAAATCATTTAAATTTTAAATTATTTTAATCACAATGACAAGGAAACTATAGTAGCAACATGGAAATGTTACAAAAATAGTTTTTCAAAGGTTCCCCTAGTAATGCACCTACACATACACGTAAGTTGTGGAATAACACAGGTGGTATTAATTACTCCCTAACCATCTTTAAACACATGTCATATAGCATTTGTTATCATATCCTTACAAGCCTCACATCCGTTTTGTTACTGCCCAGTGTATGGGTTGCACCGGTTGACTATATTAGGGACTTCATTCTTTTTGATCTTGGTTAGCTCCACAACTTTCCTGGAGAATTTTAGGCTTTGCGAAAGGTTCAAAGTTGTTTCTAAACCTCTTATACAGAAACACAATGAACCAAAAGGCCAAAATGATCCTTTCGATCACCGGTATAATCTAACATACTTTTACATACCAAAACATATTAACAACATTAAAAGAATGCAGTTATCTGATGTGACAAAACGTAGTTCCTTTCTGGAAAAGTTTATAAAATCTCCACCTGTCAGGCTAAATTGACCAGTGCTTCCAAATACGACAATAACAGAGAGTATCTGTCTATTGTGACAGAATCCATCCATCGTTTTTGTTAGAATGCGTCTGTATTTTGTGACAGAATACAGTTGTCTATTGGAGCAGAGTGTTTCTGTGTTTTGTGACAGAATGCGTCTATCTATTGTGAAAGAATGCGTCAATCTATTGCTACAGAATGCGTCTGCCTATTGTAACAGTATACATCTGTCTATTGTGACAGAATACGTCGGTTTATTGAGTCAGTCTATTGTGACAGTATGTATCTGTCTATTGTAACAGATTGCGTCTGTCTATTGCGACACAATGAGGCTGTTTATTGTGACAAAATGCCGTTTCTATATAAAAGGTAGTGGCGATATTAAGCGTCGACAACCACCAACTGGCTCGCATCTACAGAGGCCTTATAGCTATAGAGTCCTCGCAAGATTTAATTAATCATGGGAAAACTATTTTTTACTTTTTCATGTATGGTTATATGTAATTGTGCGTTAAATTTAATATAATCTGATTTGATCATATGTAAATATATGATTTCTTAAAAAAATATATAAAAAACTAGTAAAATTAAAACATATTTAATGTTTTCTTTTAACTCTGATGTCTCCAGTTTCTATAAATGGTATATTGCCGTCTTTGCTGGAAGGGTTCACAGTGGTTAATCAGCTTTGATTGATTTGTATAACATAATTTATTTTTAAATTATAAAATGTACTTTTTATAACTATTACTTGGTGGTCTTATGAAAGTTCTACAATATATGAAATAGGATTTATAATTTAAGCTAAAATAATATTTATTTTTATTAATAATATATATTATACACATATTTTGTCTTTCAGACCCACTGTTGGAAATGTGGAGAAATATTTTGTGAACGTTGTATCGTCAAAAATATACCATTACCGGGTTTGGATAGCGGTAAGCCCGCACCAGTTTTCGCCAACGTGCTTTAGTCTAGTACAAAAGATCAGCCCATAAATATATAATGAGAAACAAAACTTTATTAAACCATAATTCCTGTACTTGTTGTACACAAGGTGAAGTGAGGAGTGAGTTGCCGCTTTAACTATACGGAATGTTGAGTTATTTATATATCAAATGCTATTTAGTATGTTTGATTGGATATGAGCGATTGTGCGTGTATGTGATTAGGCTTAAAAATTGAAATCAGAATTACTGTTGCATTTCCTTTAAAATTTGTTTAAAAAAATATATATTTAAAATAGATATATACATATTTGATATAAGAAAAAGAAATCAACTAAAAATATAAATTAATGTTGCTTCCTTTAAAAAGCCAATATTTTTTATGTAAAAATATGTTTAAATTATATATTATTTTATATGTAAGCATTTGCTAAGTAAAATCAAAAATCACAAATAATTTTTTTTTTTTTCAATAATTTAATAAATATATTAAATTATATTTTTATTAATAGTTCGTTATATATATTTTTCTATATTTTATTAAACAATTTTTGCACAAATAATGTATTTTGTTTAGGTTAATGCATTTGTTTTATATTGTAAAATATATTTGTAATTATAAAATTGTATTGAATTATTATTAGTGAAAAACAAAAATGATTAATTAATGTGCAATCTAAATTCAACAAGATGTTTTATTAATTATTCTCACAAAGATTCGATGTATAAATTATTTGACTAAATTATAATAATATAAGTCAATACATAAACACTTCGTTTTAATCCAGAAAAGAAAAAATTAGGAGAAATATTACACAAAAATTACTTAATCAATTACAACAGAATTGTTTTAATTTAATTATAAAACATATATATTGTAATATAAATATCGAAAAAATATATTTAGCAATGTTTCAGAATATGAGTTTTTAACTTATAAATAAATCAGTAGAACAATATCACATTTGAAAATCTAAATAATTTCTTTGTCGAATGTGCACTGATCACACAACTACGGGAACGACCTCATTTTATCCTCAAAATGGGAATAAGAGTTAGTAAGTTAAAAAGTTACTTACAAAAAAAGTGGAAAAACTAATGGCAGCGATATAAAAATCAACAAGAATTTAAAATCTGTGCTATTTACCAGGTGTACCGGTATGAAATGAGCGTTTTTTGGTGAAAATAAAACACTAATTATTAATAGGAAAGTAAAAAACATTTTATTCAAAGTATTGGCCATTGCTTTCTACACATTTTGACCACCTTTCTGGCAATTTGTAGATACCACTCCAAAAAAATTGTTCGTCTTTTAAAGCAAACCAACCAGACACCCAATTTTCGACCTTCTCGTAGGAATCAAAGTGCTGCTCAGCCAATGCGTGTCCCATCGATGAAAACAAATGGTAGTCGGAAGGAGCCAAGTCTAGTGAATACAGCGGATGGGGTAGCAGCTCTCAGCCAAGTGTTTTGATTGCATCCTGAACCCGTTTTGCTTTGTGTGCAGGTGCATTGTCATGGAGCAGAATTCCCTTGCTGTGTCTTCTGGCCCATTCTGGTCGTTTCTTGATCAATGCATGGTTCAAATTTATCATTTGTTGTTCATAGCGACCAGCATTGACGGTTTCATGTAAAACGTTAGTTTTTTTTAGAACCAAGCATTTTAAAAATAATAATAATAATATTAAAATACTATAAAAGAATCAATTTCAATAAATAGTTTCAAAAAAATGTATCCTCTTGTACTTTATTACAAAACAATATTTTTTCACACAAAATACTGCCTTAAATTTTCAAAAAGTGCAAATATTAAAATCTCTTAAAACCATGGATCAACCAACCAAAATTATCCAAATATTATCTGGTACAAATACAACTGACCAGACGGAATGACCAATTAGAATAGCAAGCAACTAAAGTTAATAGAGAGATTGGACATAAGGTGATAAAATACTAAATCCTGCAATTATTACAATTATATATTATTTTATTAATCTTAATTTGTTGTCCGGACCTCCACTCACTAATTGAGCTCAACAGACTGAAGTTCCGTCACCAACATGAGTCCATAACCATTTCTGTGCTACAAGCCCATGCCTTCAGTGTATTGCCTGTAATACCGTCAATACTTCCAGGTACCATCCACAATACCCCGATATCAGTGGCGACTAACCACTGGAAATATTATTTATATATGCATAACATAATACATAACTCTACCAATTATACACGATGGCATAACATAAAGTATTATATTAACTAACCTCCATAAAATAATTACAGATACAGTTTAACTTTTAAAGCTCGAAGTACCATTTTGCAAAGAAAAGGTTCGACTTATGGAGACTTCGAGTAAGATAATCTTTCTTTTTTGTTTTTTTTATTTTTGAAAGTAACTAGAATTATGTTTCAAGATAATTATTTATTTATTTGAAATCAAACACGGCACAGAAGTTATAGTGAATTAAAAAATATTCAGAAATTAGGGTTTGGGACTTTAATTTGTTTATTATTTTCAGTAAAAAGAGAATCCAAAGAGATTATTCATACTCTTTTAGTAATCATCAGTTGTAGTATCATTCGTTTGCAAATTAAAATTCAGAATTTTGAATGAGTCTTCTACTTGATTTCTAGAAGGCTAAAGAACAGCTTCATCCACCTCATCATCACTTTTCGTTGCGCTTAGAATCGGATCCACTAATTCATATGATATCAATAATATCGTCGACTGTAGGAAAGCTTGATGTATAAATTTCATTGTCAAGAGCAATATAGTAGTTAAGAATAGCATTGGAAGTTATTGTATTTATTTTAAACCACGCTGTCAGCGACTGTAACTTGCGCAAAGAAACAACAAGAAAAAAAATTAAACATTTGGTTTGGAAAAAGGGACTTCCCTTAACAGCAAAATGCATTTATACTTAAAACAAAAATTCGACTTATAGAATGCACTTTCCCATATTCCTATTGGCACATGACAATATTTTTCTTCGAGTTATAGAGAAATTCGTGGTATAGAAGTTCGAGTTATAAAAGTTCGACTTATAGAAGTTCGAGTTATAGAAGTTCAAGTTATGGAAGTTTGCTTTGTTTTTTAATTATGGGGGCTCCATGTAACTTGCTGATCATTTTTATCTATCAAATTTAAATTACTATATAACAAATTATGTTTAAAGTCAATTTTTATTAATATTATTAAAAAGTCTTGTAAAAACAAATGTTTATTATTATAAAACCAGTAGAATGTAACATTCATAGAGTACATTAAATTTAACTTTAAAGAAATCTTAAGAACTGTAACTAAAATAAATATATATTTATATATTTTCGCTACAATAAATTTAGTCGGACAAGATTAACACCAAATCAACTTACAGTTTTCGAGATATTTAGCTGTAGTAGCCAATTTCCGTCGGTTTGATGCGCAAAATAACAGGCACGCTTGTGCATGGTAATATCGATACTTCAGTAGCTACAGCAGTGACCAATTCGGGAGGAGTAATATCATAGATCAAATTCAATGGTGTCATTTTGCCTTTCGCTTGCCAGTTCGTCAAACAACATTTGTCGTTTATAACCAAATCGTTTGGATTGCCCAATTCATTGTACACAATTGCATCGGTTTGGAATCGTTCACTAAATTTATGTGTTTCGCAGCACACCAAGACAGGTACATTAAATGCACGCGCTACCAGAGCAACTTGAGCTGTACCAGTGCGAGCCATCACATAACCATTTGCAAGTAATGCATGAGCACCTAACAAAACTTTTGTTGTCTCACGCATAACAAAGCCCAGCGCATTTATCAGAACATAAGTACAAGGTATTTCCTTAGCAGCAAGACGGCGCAACAGCTCTTGACCTTCACAGAATGGACGTGAATCAACAACTATAACTCGAAAATTGACACCACGCTTTTGAGCTTCTTCGAAAATGAAATTTATAAGTGAGGAGCTGTAAATGTAAATGTAAATACATAATTTTATTAATATATATAATTACATTGTATGTATTTGTAATACTTACCAACCAAAAGTTAATATAACGTCACCATTACAAATTTTTTCCTGCATAGAACTGCTGATAGCTTGTGCAGCTTTTCCAATTTGATTCTCAATGTAAGTATCAATAAAGTGACATAAATTTCCTTTTAGCTAAAGATATATATAAAATATTTAATAATTAATTATATTTAACTATAACTGTGCGCATTGTATATACCTCAGATTCTGGCTGTTCAGTTGGCAGTTGTGTCAGTACATGTTTAATATGCTTATAGGCATTCGTAACGGAAACTGCTAGTGGACGACATTTTTGTAAGTGTTCCACACAATTTTTGATAAAAACTTCCAAGCTGCGTGAAAATTCTTTCTTAGGTGGAGTTTCAAAGTCGTGGATAACCTAATTTTTTTATTGAAAATTAATATTATAGTATACATATTACAAACTATATATTTAAATACCATTTTCAGCGCATTTAGAAAGGCAATGCATCTAGCATTCGAACCAACTATTGTACGATGTGCATATTGTTCACCTAAGCGCGCAATGCTTGGATGGATTTGTGAGTTGTTCACAAATAGGCTGACATCAGTTCGTGCGCACTCTAAGTGGCTAAATAGCCGCATTTTAATGTCAATAAATTTGCTTTGCTTTGCAGGAGAAGTAGTAGTAGTAGCTTTAGCACTTGGAGATTTAGTCTCTTTGGTGATTGGAGGAGATGCAGTTTTGGCAACTGTTGCTGATTTATCATTGATAGCCGGTTTGGTTGTAGAACTTTTTGCAGTTAAAGCTTGCGCTTTTGCAGCACGTTGTGCTTCTTGTATTGCGCGCCTTTCAGCTTTTGTGAGTGCAGGTTTTTTCTACAAAAGAAAAATAATAAATTTTAAAATAATAAAAATATAAGACATAATAAAATTATTTTTTTGTATTTAGTCGAGCAAAATAACTATAAATGTATGGTGACAATAATCTTGTGTTAAAGATTACAATTATAGGGGAATACAACAGAATCATATCTAACAAATATCACGCAAAACAACCAACACAAAATGCTTGTCACAAATGGATCTTTAGTAACGACCTATTACACAGCTCCGAGATCTAACAATTAAAAAGACTGAAAAGAACTGAAAAACTGAGAAAACTATACCCAGCAACCCCTTTACTTCTAACTTACCCCATAACTAATCCATATTGTAACCAATACGAGTATATTCGGATTTTGTAATTTCTTTCATGTCTCTTACGATCTCTTCGGACAACAACAATCATAACTTCTAAAGTTCTAACGGGAATGTTAAGATTACAATAATCAACTTCCATATAAGAATCGTTCAAAAGATGAATTAATAGATTGAGTATTTATTGCATCAAATCTTTACTAATGATGAAGGTTGGTAAAAAAACGATGGAAGAGATTTACACTTAAGTCAACTAGGGTCAACGCTGAGAAACCGAGCCATTTCTAAGGGACGTATTCAAAGATCATTGGAAGCAAATTTTGTGTGAGCATTGAAGCAAGAAAACAGATAGAGGGTAGTGTTGCATTCAGGGTACACATTAATTATTAACACATTTATACGGCTCAATTATTTATTTAGCACATGGCTATATCCCCATCTCAATTGAGCTAGGACAATACTCGTTGCACGAAGAAGGTGTCCGAAAGCGACATCATGGGTAATATTGGAAATAGACGTGTTTGAGTGTGACAAGTTACAATTAATAACGTGACTATAACCTGTCTTAAATTGGGCTAGTATAGTTGCTGGACATGGAAATTGTCTTTAGTCCCTGTTTAGTTATTAAAAACCGATTTTACAATGTATTATGTCGTTGCGTTGTTGTTATTATTGTAGCTCGCGAAAATCTATCGTGCAGATAATATGAAAGACATTACAAATACGTAGGGTTTCAAGCACCGCAAGGTCTACGACCCGGAACCACTCAAGTTTGACGACCAAGTACCGTTTACCACATTCAAAAGGAACTACTACACAAGAAGACCCATGAGTGTTACAATAACAACAAAACAACAGCAAAGACATATACACACCCCTCCCCTTTCCTTCATCCTAACACTCACTCCCACCTTTTCCATTCCCTATCCCATGTGTTCGTCTTGTAATCCTTTCATGTTATCTGCTTTCAGGTCCCGGCGGGTTACAACAACAACAAAGGCATATACATGTTACGTACACATGTGGGCAGGTGCTGATAGTGTGAGGTAAAGGGAATGTTAAGGAATAAGAATTGATTAGGGGATGATTTAATTTAAATCAACCTGTATCAAGTTGGAGAAAACTGGCCTTTTAAAGACTAATTGGACTCAAGTCCAATGTGTATTTTGAGACATTATTTTTGCGTGCTTGTTCTTCTTTACTGAAATTCACTATTATAATTAATTGAGTATTTAAATTACCTTTTCTTCTACAGAACTTGTTATTGTTTCGCTAGCTGGCACTGTTACTGATTGTTTTGAAACCGTATTAGACAATTCTGTATTCAACTCCGTTACTTCTTTATTCGTATCCGTATTCGTATTTTTGGCTAATTTAGAAGCTTGCTTTGCTTGTTTTTTGGCTTCACGTTCAGCTTTGATTTGTTCACGAGATTTTTCTCCACCTAAACCTACATCTTTAGTAACCACTGTGGGTTTTATATCCGTTTTTGTAATTGATTGTTTCTGTTTTAAAGGGAATGCCTTTTAATAATTTTTTTTCACTTACTAAAATAATAACAAATAATTTACCTTTTCTTCTACATTCTCAACTGGTGTAGCCGCTGTTTGTGCTGTTGTAGTTGTTGTTTTGGGAATACTGATTTGTAGATCGGATAATTTCTGTGTGATTCCCGTTATTTCCTTACTAATGCTTCCACTGCTTTTAGCTAGTTTGGCAGCCTGTTTTGCTTGTTTTTTCGCTTTACGTTCAGCTTCAATTTGCTCACGATTTTTTTCTGTTACAATACCACCGCCAGTGTTTGTGACGGAGGTACGTTTTTCCA